ATCCCCTATTTTTGTCCTTGCCTTGATTGTTGAATTTCTTTGTGTATGGTGCTGTTCTAACATGGGAGCTTCAGTGACTGCTCAAATAGTTCATTTGTTCTTTTGTTACGCTCAGTAACTGCTTTCTGAGTGGTGTTAACATGATCTTTTCGCTTGCTTGTTTGGTGTCTCCTTCCCTGCCGCCTCTGAAATGGCTTTAATCTGACCAGTGTTTGGATTCTGTTAGGTGTTACGTGTGTTTCTTTTTGAAGATAACCTTGTGCGTGTTCATTATCCAACGTGGGGTTTTAAATGAATAGCAAGGTCTCCACAAAGTACTGGTGGAGAATTGGGTTGCCTGGGCTATCCTAAATGTCTCCATTTTGAAAAGCCAGAATTATTTTGAAGTTCTACTTGGTTTTACCAATGACATTAGCCAAAAATGATTATCTCTTTGAATGTTAGCTTTGTAGCACGCTCTTTTCTAGCACCTGTACACCAGTCTGACTTTCTTGCTTGGCCAACGCAATGAACGATGTCAACGTTTTGTACAAACCCTTTAACTGGAGTTAAATCTGACACTGACCTTTGTTGCGTTAGGACTGATTTGTAATGAATGAGAAGATTGGGTGGATAATTATCTGTCTTGTCTTCTTTGAATTTTAACTACTCATTAATGCAAGCTATTTGTAGAAACACTAAAACTACTTTTCACCTTAATTTTTTTGGGACAGATGCCCTTGCTGCTGACTAAATATATGTAGAATTACTGGCGTCCTTAAGGACAAGGCAAAGTTTTGCTTATTGTGGTCTTATCCCCGTGAGTTTTGGTTGTGCTGAACCAAAGCTGAAAGCTATTACAGCTCCTACTTGTATATTGGCTGTTGAGTGGTGTTTGGCCAGGCAGCCATGCTGTCTCTCTGGAAGCTCTAAACTGACTTTTTCCAACGAAAGCCAAGCCAAGCAAGGATGATTCATTTTATTTTTTGTCGTATGGTTGAGCGAACTGCCAGCAGAATAAACACACTACCTGAATAAAGCCATTATATGAAAGTCACCTGGACAGATGCTTTAGAAATGTTTGTAGGTCAACCCTGAGATTGGGCTTTGTCCACTTTCTTTTATCTGTCACGTTTACTAGACACGCAGAATCCTCCCATCCTTTGCAAGATGCTCCTCAGGAGAACCGGCCCGTCAGCAACGAAGACCGAGAGATGTCGCAGCACGTACGTGTTCCACCGCACGTGGTAGACGTAGTTATTTTTGTGCTTCTCGATACTCGTGGATGAAAAGGTGTGAGTGTAAAGATGGTGGTGCTGCCCGGTGCGTTCCGTTTGCGCCGTAGGAGGGTGTGATGGTCAGTGTCCAGTGCGGACTGCACCAACAGGCCTCCCTTCCCAGCCCTGTGCAGTCACCCCTGACCTAAGCGCTGCTGTGCCCCCTGAAGAGGCAGATGGGGGCTTCTGGCGCTGCACTCCAGCAGGCAGAGCAGAACATGGTGTCACCTCCAGCTCAATAGTCCGTGTGACTTCTTGAGGGTCAGTAAAACACGGGAAACAGCGGGACAGACAGCCCGAAGTGCTGGGAATCAGGTTTGATTCAGGCTCAGCCCTCTTAGAATGCCTCTAGTGGCTGGGTGCTGAACGAGCAGGAGGAGGCTTGCTGGTTCACCCCCTCTTCCTCCAGCCTTTTTGATGGGTTTGTTTTCTGCCAAGAGGGCTCGTGCCGAGTTCTGACAAACCCGTGTGCAGTGGAGAAGGAGGGAGGGTTCGGAACACCTTCCTCATACCCTTTTGTGGTGGTGAGGTGCTAATTCAGCTCGTGCATCTTGCAGAACTGCCCTGCTGGATAGCTGGAAGGTTTCCTTTGCTGTTGTGCCCCAGTCAAATCGGCAGCTGTCAAGTTCTTACGTGAAGTTAAGCGGCTTGGGAACTGATGGTGCTAAAGGCAAGCTGAGCTCCTCAGCAGCTTCCTACCACAAAAGCTGTGGTGAGAAAATATTTGCTCCCAAGGTTCTTAGGTGAAGCCTGGTGAATGTATTTTGGTGATTGATTGAATACTTTCACCGTGGGCCTGCGAAGGAGATGTGTCAGAAAAGCTCTTTCAAAAAGAGTAGGGCAGAGGAACTGTGGGCCATGATGAAATTCTTCGAACCAAGCTAAACCTTCCCCACCTTCAGAAATCTTACCCCCACTCTCATGGAGGGTCACTGCTTCAAAGGACGTAGCAGTTTCTTTGTGGGCAGCTGTCCGTTTGTGTGGAAGGCTCGTTACTTCCGTGGGTTTTGCCTCCAGACACAACTTTGTACGGCCTTGGAGTGCAGTAGAAAGTTACGTCTTTCTATCAGAATCATTCCTTCTGATAGTCCTTCATCGTACAAGTTTTGTAAGAGTTGGCTTACTGTCCCGGGGAATGTCTCAGTTTTATGTGTTAATGTGTGCTTTTACCCTTGCTAGGCCCTTCCAAGTGGTGAAGACGATGAGGATGACAGCGACAGCGACAGTGATGACGACGACGTGAAAGTGACTATTGGCAACATTAAAACGGGAGCGCCGTCGTACATGTACGTATTGCGTCGGTTTTTGATCTGAGGTCGCTCTGGCACGTTGGCTGGGGTTGAAAGTGGGGACGAGAGCTGATCTGTCTTCTGGGGGCCGTGGGAGTAATGGCTAGAACACCAGAGCGGGGTTGGAAGCTGATGGGCAGCTCTGTCCTGCAATTGCTTGTTGGAGAATCCATCTGTAAAACAGGAATGATAATTTGTGAGTCTGCTGTTGGAAAATTAACCAAATAATTACTGTGCTTCATCGGGCAAAATCGAAGGTGGGAAGTTACATTGAACTCATCATCTGTGAAAATTTCAAGAACCAAAATCTGTGTGGCTAAGGATTTGCATAAGCTGTGAATTTACCAATTTACAGCTGGCTGATTTTCCGTGATTCGGAATTGGTGAGGCTGGATGTGCAAACCAGGAAATTATGTCACTGACTTCAAATTCTACCTAATTTGCATTGAATAAAAATAATAAGGCAGCATTTTTGCTTGCTGCTAGCAGCCTTCCTCTCCAGGAAATGACTTACGTGTGCTTTGCAGCATATTCTAATTTTCCCTGCTTTATGGATAATTTCCTTCTCTCGTCATAGAGGTGGTTTCAGTCTGATGGATTGCTCTGAACAGCAATGCTCCGTCCCTTAGCAGCTGACTAGATTTTGCAGACCTCTTTTTGGAAATCTGCTTCTTCTACCTTCCTCTCCTCGTTCTCGATCTATGGGCAGCTATGATCTCTGTGTTGTTCAGTTCCATTTAAATACCAGGTCCATTCCTGGGCCGACTGGTACCCACCACACTTTGAAGTCAACTTTCCCTTGATGTTCAAGGCAATCCTCTTGCGTTCTGTTGTTGGTCAGTTTGCTGCGTTTCTGTAGGGTTAGAGAAACTTAACATGGCATACGAATCTCACTTCTAAGGTGAGTGAGTAGTACTAAAACTCGTAGAGAGGTTTGAGTAAACCCAGGTGAGCTGAGCATCTCCTGAAGGATGGCAGGGCTTGAATATATTTTGCATGAAAATCTTCAAGTAATTTGTTCAAATACCAATGTAGTGATTCTTTTCCATATAGGGGAACTCCTATGAATCTAAACTTAAAAACGGGTAGAGGCTATGGAGCATCTGCTTCAGGTATTGCTGTTGATTTTCTCCTTCGCCTTTTGCAATATTTCACTTGTCTGGCACTGACAGCTGGAGCAGCTGCAAATCTTGGTCTCCATTTGGAAGGATATAAAATTAGTGCATCTGGTTGGAACGAGGAATAGTGAAGTGGGTTTCCTAAAGAGAAGTGCTCCTCGGACAGTCCGAGAGTCCAGGGTGCAGTGGAATGATTCAATTACCCGTCACTGAACAAGCTGATTATAACTCTGTTTAAACTAGAAAAAAAATAATTGATTATTATTTTTATGGAAAAAAACCCAGTATTTCTAAACTATAATGCTGCACTGGGGCCAAACATTCCAAATTGCATGGAGAACGGTATCTCTATGGTCAGTTTACTGAGCTCCTCGCAGTGTAAGGTACTAAAAGAAACAAACTCTGGCCTTGAGTATCAGCTGTGCATTTTTCTGCCGGTGAAGCTTCCCCCCCCATTCAGTTTAGTTTACACTGTGTATTGAGACTTGGGTTCTGTCCTTCCTCATATGTGAGACTGTCCTTTCATGGGCTTCATATACTTCCTTCCATTAATTTCTGTATGCAAATGGCTTATCTTCTGATTGAGAAAATAAGAACAAATTCCCCCTGAAGATTCTGTACCTGACAGATTTTTGCCGACTCCAGTTAGTGCACGGTGCACTTAAGGCTGATCCAGAAAAAGTCTCTTGTAAGGAGAAAATGTGTGTGTGTCTTGGGAGGGAAAAATAAATATTTTGCCTGGGGAGAAAAAGAAATTTTTTTCATTTGGGCTAAATTTCATGCATGCTCTAATAATTTACTCTGTTTGTCTGTAGTACCAATCTGGGTTGAATTTGCTTCTCTGCTGCTCAACTGCAAGTGCTGTACGCCCTGGCTATTTCTTTATAGAGTGACTGAAGTAATTTTTAATAAAAAGTTGATTGTGGTTACCTACGTGCTGTAAAGCCAGCAATGAATTCACTGCAGCGCTTTATTTTTGACTGGAGTGATTTGCTCAGCAAATTAGTGGATTAAAGGCATTGCATTAAAAGTAGTAACGGTTTCTCTCTCTCCAAAGCCAAGTTGCAGCCCAAAGGTATTGACTTAGATGCTGCAGGGAATATAAATGGATTGCCTGTTATAGAAGTGGATTTAGATTCATTTGAAGACAAGCCATGGAGGAAACCAGGTGAGGCCTCGCAGTTTGTTGTGGTAAATATTTCCTGCGGTTTCAATTGTCTCTCTTTAATTTCACGTGTCATTTCTGGCCGTTTAGTGCTGCCAGGGAGCAGGGAAGTCGGCGCGATGTGTATTGCTCAACCTCTGATGCCTGTCTAGACAATCAGTGACATTTACTGATTGATGAAGCCATGCTGCTGCCTAAAACTGGGTTGCATTTACTCTGTTAACCTCAAGGGAACGACGATTGTTTTCTAGCGTTCTGTTTTATTAATTCCATCGTTGCAGAAAGGACTGCAGCGATATCGATGCGATCGCGTTTGTTGGTGTTACGGTCAATTGAGTAGGATCAGGGTTTGGCTGTCGCTGGTGTGCGCGCTCCCCGCCGCGCGCTCACCGTGACCAAGCTCAGACATCCCCGCGCACCCTTCTCGTTTGGGTCCTGGGGGGTGTCCCCCCTTGCAGAGGGGAGCGGCGGTGGGACCTGCCACGTGAGCACGTCCTGATAGGAAAGCCATCTTTTTGTGTTGAATTCTCCTGCTGCAAACAGTTGAAGAGAAGGAAGGGAAGCACGGCTGCTCTGACAAGAAAGGCCAGGGTTTTTCTTTTAGAGGAGTAGCATTGCCTAATTCTTTGCTAGATTCTTCCCCTAGGTGCATAACTGCGAGCGAGCAGCCCCCACTTATTTCTTCTGGCCAATATTATCTAGACTGTGTCCAGACAAAGAGCGCTTTGCACAGCAGGTTTTGATACGTACGAGGTCTCTTTTTCTCTTCCTGATTAGTATTAGGGAGATTTCTACTGGGAAGTGACTCTCGCATGACAACCGTAGGATGCTGCAAATAAACTTCTGTTTTTCATCTGAATTGGATAACAGAAGTAAAGGAAGGAACCAGAGAGATCCAAATTTTTGCTGTGCTGCTCTCATAAAATGCGCTATGGTGAAATGTTAACCGAAGCAAAAAATCCACGTGCCTCTTCTGAGAAGTAATTCTTCTCCCTGCCAGCCCCTGTCCTTAATCTTTCAGAAATACTGCTGTGCGAAGTAAATGGCACTTTTATGAGGTTCTCTTGCCCACCTGAAATGCAGGGCGTGGGAGTATGTGACAGTGCTGATGACTGCATTGCCACGTCGTGGTGTCAAACGGGCACTAAGTGCTCCGTGATGAGTAGCAGCCAGTACAGACACGGTAGAAAGCGCAGCCTTTCTTCTGCGGGGGATTTCCCATTGACTGTGAAGTGAGGACGAAGGGGCCAGGAGGAGAGTAAGTTAGAAGGAAAACAATGAAGTGAAGTTCAGAGATAAGGCATGGAAATCATTGTGGTCATGCTGACATCCCTGGACCAAAGTGAAGCCAGGTAGCCTCCAATCAGTGCTGAAGAATGAATAGAGGGAAGATGTCTGCAGAGCTGTGCGGCCTGTAAGTTTATTTTAGATGGCCAGTAGCTTCCTACCCGACAGCCTTTTGGATTTATATCCCTCACAGTTAATTGTTCAGCAAGCTGGTACCTCTTTAAGTGAGGGAGAGGAAGAAGAAATGTGGTGTGGAAGAAACAGAGGTCTGAAATAGGCTGATAAAATAGATATGTAAATGTCACGTTGCTGAGTCTGTGTCGGTGCAATTTGCATATTTGGGTGGCACAACAGGACGAGCGGCCTGCCTAGAAGATAAACTTAAACCTCGCTGTATAGATCCAAGCTCAGCGTGGTCAAAGTGTTTTGCTTAGCCCTTATGTTTTAGCATTGGTGTGTCTAGGAAATCCTTTGCGAGGGGGATGGCGGGGGTTCACCTCCGCAGGGCTGGGAGGTGCTTTGCAGTGCTTCCCGTTGTGAGGCGTGCCTTGCAGAGTCAGTTGCAGCAATGTTTGTCCCTCCACATCTACGTTTTCTGGGCGAGCAGTTTGTGGGCACCTCTCTTACTCAGAAGTGCTCGTGCTGAATCGGCCCATTTCACAGAAGGCTGTCGAAGAAAGATAACAAACTTGGAGGACTTCTAGTCAGGATCGTGACTGAACTGTAACTGCTTGCGTAGTCTGAGAGGTATCAATAAAAAACTTCCACTTTAGCCCTGTTTCACGAAAGGGCTGAGTCCCAGAGTCTCTTCTCAAGACAGCAAAGCGATGATGATCAGGAGCAGAACGGTCGGCTTAGCTCTGCCGAGAAAAAGGTGCTGTGGCACCTTCCCGTCTCTGTGGTGGTAGTCGGAACCATCGTTCCTCTGCTCTCCCCAGCACTCAGCTCGTTTGGACGATTGCGAGAAAGCAGCCTGAAAAATTCCAGTGGGTGCAGAAGGGGTTGCAAGCAGCTCTTTTGGTAGCCTGCGTACGTGTCCCCCAGATGGCCCCGCGGCTGTTGTCCCCCTCGCACCGAACGATGCAGCCGTCTCCGCTGTGGCACGCAGCGGCTTTCTGACAGAATGGCACGAGAGTAAGCTGTGCTCTGTAGGAGGTTTTCTTAACTCTTCATTTAAGCCATTAAAGGCCGATTTGAGAAAGCAAGTCTGCTAGAGTCCCTGTGTTAACTTCTGCTCCCTTCGTCAGGTGCTGATCTTTCCGATTACTTTAATTACGGATTCAATGAAGAAACATGGAAGGCTTATTGTGAAAAGCAGCGGCGGCTTCAGCTTGGGCTGGATCCTGCTCCTCCCATCAGCACTGAAAATAAGATCACAGTAGGTGACATGTTACTTCTGCCTATGGCTACAATAAAACTGGGACTAGTTTCTGTCGTCACAGAGATGAGAGTATGAAGATGCCATAATACCAACCTGTTCTGTGTTCCTTTCAGTGATGAGTAGTACAGAAATGTGTCTTCAAAGATTAAATCTCTCTGCTAAAAATCTTTTCTCTATGGAATGAACAGTTCCAGCTGCCTGGCAGGTTTGAACCACTGCGGCAGCAGGACTTGAGTGAATTTCCAGTTGACTTTGAGGCTACCCAGCTTTAGGGGTGTTTGGTTGGAAGATGCTGTGGATGTGAGAGGTGTAGGGAGGGGAGCTGGGCGTCCGTAGATGTTTTGCTTGTTGCTGTTAACTGTTGCAGTTGTGTGGCTGTCTTCTGTGTTTGGAGACTGCTTTGGCCATCAACTGGTGCTGAAGTCCTTCGGGCAACAGCTGTTAATCAGAACTTCAGCCAAAGGGTCAATACAGCAAATATTACTGTTTCCAGGTTTAAGGACTACATGAAAAAGGGTGTGAGATTATTGAACTTTGGGACTCCCAACGGGAGACAATGGACAGCAGGCTGAGGCTAGAACAGCCAACTAGTTAACAGAAACGTCTGCTCCCTTGACTGAAGAGTACGTTGCTTGTTAGCCAGAGCCCTGTGGTGGTTCCTCAAGGGAGCCCTTTTCCTTTGCCGAAGGTTCATCTCTGACGCTTCGCTCAGTTGAAAGCGGGGCCGTTAAAGCTGTGTGTTGTACATCGCCCTCCGTAGGTTCAGCAAGGGAGGACGGGAAATGCTGAAAAAGAAGTGGAGAACAACATCATCAAAACAGAATTCAAAACAGACTTCTTGGCTCTGGTGGGAGGACGCATGAAGGCTGGCCCTCCTCCTAATAGGTAAGAGATGATGCGGACATAAAAGCCCGGGTGCACGCTGTTCTCCCTAGGGGCTCCACCTGGGCCGTATCCGAATCTCCCCAAGCCTGAAACAGAAGCAGCTTTTAAACTTTACAGGAAGCTGCTGTGGTCACTCGTTAACTATCGTCTTCAGCAACGCTCTGCTGAGGGTTGTGCAGCCCCTGCCTACCTGCTTACCTCGCCGGGGCGATACCCTCAGCGTCGTGCTGCGCAGGGAGGGAAACCTGTGTCCCGGCTGAAGGGACACGTCCCTGGGAGTAGAGAAAATGGGGCAAATAGCTCAGCTTTGAGGCTTACGTTGCTGGCTGCTTACTTGGCGTATTCTTACTCCCACGATCGTAATCTTTGCCTCCTGAAGTGGAAGCGGATTACGGGTTTGGCAGCTGATAAGAGGAGCTATTGGTTTCTGAACCTGTATGCCGCGCCGCCCGGTGCACGCTAGCTGGTTCTTTTCCGCAACGAGAGCGAGGATCCGCAAGGCTGGACAAAGCAAAATGATTGAGTCATTTTGATTGGCGGCCTCTGCTGGGAGAACCACTTTGACCTCATGAGCTTGGTGGGGTTTTTTTATCCAAAGCTTCAGAAAAACAAAGCGCTGTGAAACCAGAAGATCCAGAGCTTTGGGGTCTGGGTGTTTCTGTTGCTTTATTGGCGTTGCATCTTTTGCACACCCCTGCCTTGCGGAAATCAGTCTTGCGTCCCAGCTTTCCACTCTGAGAGAGAACCAACTACGTGCTTCAAGTATAAGCTTTGAAGCTCTACTTTGTCTGTATTTAAGCACTGTGGTGGCGTTTCTGTCCCCCCTCATAGCACCAGCAGATCAGCCAGGTTTGTTTCCAGCTGTTACGTGTGTATCGTGAGGCTTTTGGAAATTTACACCGCTGCAAAATAAGCTGCTGCTGTTGTAACTCTACAGCATTTTTGTCCACTGTAACTTGCAGTCTGGTTTTGAGAGTACTGACACACGAGACCCTGTTCCTGCAGCAGAGCTTTTGGTCAGGACCAGAACACCGCAGCAGCATCAAAACCGTGGGCTTAGCCTGAGTTGTTGGGTTGGTTTTTTTTTTTTTCTAAAAGTGAGCAGATTTCAATGAGAAAACTTTAGCTCACCAACTAGCCAGCACTTTTATACCCACTTGGTCTAAATTTCCTACTGAGAGAGAAATTTCTGCAGCCTGACTTGGACATGTTGCTGTCCTAACTGCAGGAAAACATGTCTGTGGCCGTACTTCCACAAACCAATTGTTGCACGAATATAAGATGAGAGATTCTTACACTTCAGTGGTGGGTGCTTCTCTCTCTCTCTCTCTCTCTCTCTCTCACAAACCTTTACTTGTGATGACTTCACAACACGCTCCTATAAAAATGTTCTTCCTCTAAGACTGACCTGCATATGGACGTAAAAGAACATGGAAAATTGTAGGTTCTGTGTCAGATTTCTGCTAGTGCATAGACAGCGCCGTTTCTTGGCTACATTACTATATTTTGTTTTTCAAGGATCTTGATTTCTTTGAAGGCAGTGGCAAAACTTTTGACTTTGATAGAAACAGAGCAGACCCCAGGGAGACGGGCTAGAATCCGATTTGTAAATAATTTCAGTGGTATCAGCAACACTTGGAATATTGGACAGAAAGCAGGAAAAATCTGGGCTGATAAAGGCTTCTCCTGATAAATATTCTCCACTTTCTTTGAGCCTGATCTGGGAATGATTGTTCAATCAGGAGAGTGAATAAAGGATTTCAGCTCCGAAGCAGTGTGCAGTCCCTGTTATTACACCCGTATGTGGTGAGTCTCTTGTTTCTGGGTGTTCAGAGAGGCCTAACTTGCCCCTGCAAGCAGAGCTCAAACTGCTCAAAAGTGAGGAAAGGACTTTGTGTTCACCTCTTGTCCAGTTTGGGTGCTGCCTCTAGAGTTTTTTCCCTGGTGGAAAAGAATGTAGGAGAGAAGTCTGTCTAATAGTGGGGAAAACTGCTCCTTCTAATGTCTTTGAGCCTAAAAAGATGCATCTGCTTTGTACCAGGAAGCTGGGTGGGACAATTGATGTGATCGGCGGCCAGGCAGGCACAATTAGGAGAGTAGAAGGAAGACGTCGTGACAAGCACGCCTCCGAGGAAAACCCAATTCAGGTAAACGTTTCGCGCGTTTTGACAGATTTCTGATATTATTGAGCTTCTCCTGAGCCCTGAGGACGTGTCGGTGCGTTCCTGACCTCCCGCGTCGCTGTTCCTGCCTGCAGAGCAGCAGGCGGTCTGTCAGCCCCTGCGTGTGCGTGTCTCCTTCCCTCCTGCAGGCTGAACTATCTTCTATGGTGAAAGCTTTATCTTGCTAGGAGCTAGGGATTGTCCTTCAAAGACTAGCCTTCCCCTCTGAATGGTGAGGCCCAAGTTCCTTTTCTCATCAGCTCTCCCACAGTATTCCTCTGGGAGGCTCGCACGGGGATTATTCCCTTCCGCTCCACTGTTGGGTTGGAGTCTCCAGTGGAGAAGTTCTACTTGGAGCTTGTGTTTCTTCTTCCTTTGAAGGAACATTTAGTCTGAGCATCGTTAGGTGCACCCACACGTCAGGCTTAGGGTGGGCCTGTGCTACTGGATCTTGTCCCTTATAAGAAATAAAAGCCTGGGGTTTAAAACTGGACTCAGTTCTGATCTTGCGTGTCCAGTGTATGACTCATGTTCTGGTTGGCTTCTAGGGAGGAAGGTGCTACGTGTAGGGTTTGAGGACCATCTGCTGAGAAGTCTTCTCTTAACCACCTTCCTCCTACCAGCCACTCCTGACTCACCAAAAAAAATCCCAGTTATGGAGCCTTTCTCCTGCTAGATGCAATTCCTGGTTTTGGTTTTACATGTGGTTTTTTTGGTCTCTTTATTTTTTTAGTCATCAGTTTTTCCAAATTTTGCCAACAATGGCCCAAAGAAAGAGTTTGTCCAAGAGAAAGAATTTGCTGGGAAATGCTGGTTGTTCCTCCCCCTTAAAGCATTGATACCTGTATTTCCAGGTCATTCTGGTATCTCTGCGTGTTGGTCGTTCCTTCGGCGTTAGTGGGTATGTGCCCTGCAGTTCCCGTGAGCAAAAGGGGTTCATCACACTCAAATGTCCGCTGTCTCGCACAGTGGTGTGTACAGCTCGAATCGAGTCTCGCTGCTGGCCTGTGTACGAGAAGACACCTTGCTAAACATGTTGATTTGATGCTTTGATCAACCTTCCTCCCCAAAAGGTGGTATCCCCTGGGTTCGGCGTAGCCTGGGCTTTCCAGCCATCGCAGCGCTGCCCGTTTTGGTGACGTGCTCCCCTTAACACCAGCACGGCGAGGTCCCAGCTGCAGGAGCAAAGAGATTAAAATGCTCTCTTCTCGTTCCTCTGCCTTCTAAGGTCCTTGGAGACCACGGAAGTAAGCCACAACCCCCACAGCAGCCCCAGCAGCCATCACAGCCCCAACAGCCACCTCAGCAACAGCCGTTTGCACCACCAGCAGGCCCACCGCCTCCCCCGCTCGCTGGGCCACCTCCACCACACTTCCTCCACCCTCCTCCACCAGTTACTTCTGTTCCACCTCCCCTGCATCCTCCAGGTAGGTGTTCACGCAGCGCTCTACGGCAGCCTGAGGCTGCAAGTTAGGAAGTCCCAGGCTTGGAGCCAATGGAGGTTTTAATCGTTAAATGCTGTGGGACAGTCGAGTGATCAGGTCACAGGTCCTCAGACCTGCCCAGTCTGGATGATGCTGGAAATGGCAGTTCTACAACAGCAGCTCTAACAAACCACTTTCCTCCTAATCCTGGTCAGTTCTTGGTTGGTTTATGCCTCGAAATACCGAGATTTGTATCTTTCTGTATTTGTTTCTGTGCGTTTTCTTGTACCAACTGCCACTGCAGGATGATTCTTTCTGCTCCTAGAGGAGTCTAGGATCCAGCGCAGACATTAGAGCAGCGCTTCAGTTTAAAAGCAAAATATAAATCATGTAAATGAGGCCTTTACCGTGGGTTTCTAGCCCATTGGGTTTGGTCAGTCCTCGGCATTGGCAAGTTGGTGTGCTCTTATCAATAACCAGGTGGGTTTGTGTTGTGCTGAGAGCACCTGGCACTCGAGAAGACGCTGTCGAGAGAAGTCCTGGGTCTGCAGCAGTGCCCCGTGCCCCTGCCGTTACAGGCTGGGGGCTAAACCTGGTGAGATAACGGAGGAAAATGTCTATTTGTTTTTTTTTTCTACTTCATCATCTGGAGCACCGTGTTACAGAACAGTTTCACCGTCTCTTCTGCGCACGTAATAACTCAGTTTCCCCAAAGTTTCTGACCACATCTGCGACACGGAGGCCAGTAGTGCTCCTTCTGGGCACCAGGCAAACTAGGGCCGCACCGGTGGAGAGAGCAAGGAGCTTTGCAGCTGCAAAGGCCAAGCGTGCGTGCTCACACGGCGTCTTCACGGGGCACAGGGTGGTTTTTCTGTTGCAAGTTTACAGACATACTGGCCACGGCCTTTTCGGTCTTCAGCTCCTGCTGAGTCTGGGCATCTTCTGATCCAACAGGAGTCGCGTCTGTGCCCCTGTTGCTTCGGGTGTGAACAGCGCGTCGAGGTTGACGTGAAGGCCACGCTCCGGCCTTTCCCTGGGCCTGTAGGCAGCAGCCAGCCTTCTGGGAAGCCACCGGGAGCACGTCATGCAGTAACTGCTGTGTTTTGCGCTGGCTCCACGGGCAGAGGATACAGACTAAAAAATACAGCGAAGGCTTTTAGTCTGAGGAGGATGATTACTGCACGGTGGATCAGGGTAGCTTTTCCTGCTGCCTTTCATTAAAATGATTGGCAAAATCAAGATGAATTGTTCCCTCGTTGTTTTGGTTGTTGACCAGGGTGTCACTACGCAGTTATGATGGACGTGTTTTTTAAAAAGTTTTTTAAAAAAGCCAACCAAAAAAGCCAACCAACAACAAGCCAAAGGACACGCTGGCATCTGCAGTAGGTTGTCCTTTCCAGCTCCTTCAGTTGTTCTGAAGGCCAGAGCAATTGTTTCTGTGTTGACTCTTGGAAGAAGGAATTCTCCATTGTAAGAGAGCAGCAACGTTTAAAATTCTGATATAAAGGTAAAGTGATCATTGTTTGGGAAAATGGTATCGTTTGTAGGCTAGTTACTGCTTAATAGCACCAATTTTTCTGCTGGTCTGTTTGCTGAAGTATGTGAAACTTACTCAAAAGTGTGTTTTTAGCTTGAGGGACAGAGATGACATGTTTTACCTGTTGTCCTCACTCGTTTTCCTTGTTTATTTCCACAGGTCTGCCACCACCAGGTCCTATTCCAGGTAGGTGTTAACTCGCTCTTGCTAACAGCGGCGATTCTGGGCACACAGACGGCTCCATCTGAGCGTCTGGATTAAGCAACACGAGATACAGCGGCACCAAGACCCATTTCAGAGCGCGGTTAGATTAAGGCTGATGAACTGCAATGTGGCGTTGAACTCTTCCCTGCTTATCTTGTATTCTGGGCCTAAGTAATAATCTGTAGGGCTTCTAATGCAGTCTTGTTTTGTCCCTGAAGACCAATCTAGAGAATGAAATAGAGAACTTCAGATGGCAAAAGCCACTCAGTCAGGTTTGAAATTACTTAGTTCTTCTTACAGTATTTGCAGAGCAAAAGTCTGAGTGACAAATTGGTGCTTTGGGTAGGAATTGGGAGAGTGAGGCTGAGCAGAACAAATGCCATTTCCTTCGGAAGCCTTTGCTCCCTGGCGTGCAGCAGAGCTGGTGAATACTAATAAAGAGATGTAACCGCCAGCCTTGTGCCTAAGAACCCCGCTAATTCAGAGCTGCTGTAAAACTGAGTTTCCTCTAGCTGTAATTATTTTTTTTCTGCTGGAAATTTTGCCTAGTCCAGGGAAAACCAATTTAGCTGTTTGTGTAGGAGACTGTTTGGAGCGATAGTTCTGCCCAGATGCCGTACACCTGAAAATCCGAGGCCGAGGGTGACGGCGTAGCTGGTGGGCGTGCTTGCAAAAGGTCTGCACCCAAAGCCCTTTGGCCTCGACGTGCTTGTCCTCACGGCGTGTTGGACACGTTGGACTTGATTCACAGCTTTTGTGTCCGTGCTTTTTGTATTCACGCTCTGCCCTGGGCCTCCCAAATGGAAATATGGAAAACCTGCACTGTGGGCTGTCCCTCAGCCCGAGAAAATTCCTGGGTTTGTTAAAATGTCACTTTTCAGCCTCCTCTCGATGTGCAATGATATTGCAGAGCTGGGTTTCGTTGTTTTCCTAGAAGGAACCCGCTCATAGTCAGCTTGGATTTAGAAGAGCTGTATTGTAGTGAAACTGGATGCAAACTGGTCTTGATTGTAGACGTTGCAGGGCCCAGTTGCTACTCAAGTGCATTTAGATTAAAGTTGTTTGGAAGGAGTGAGGTGGATGAAATGACCAGGCTGTTGCAAAGAACATCCACTTCAGGTAACTGGGTTGGAAACGGAGATGAGGGAGAAAGCCTACTAATTATGATAATGATGGTGATCCACCACCATTAGAGCTAGGTGCTTCTAACAGTAGCGCTTTGAAGTGCTTGCTCTTGGTGAGCAGGTGTGATTGAAATGCTCTGGGCATCGCATTTTTTGGGAAGATCTTAAGGAAAGGAGGAAAAAACCAAACCCACATCTAAGAGTGAGATGTGGCCCCCAACTTGTCTGCAGCGTAGATCTCCAGTAGCTGAGCTGGAGACTTCAGGCTGCCTCCTCTTGCCCTGAGACCCCTCTAGGGAGGGGTTCTCCTGACCCATTTCGGGTGTTGGCAGTAAGAGGTGGTGACTTGTCCCACGGTTTCACTGACTCTGCTGGCTCAGGCTCCGCTGACTTGAAAGGGAACCTGGAGCTGCTGGCTTCAGTGTAAATGACTGCAGGTAGTCAGGTGACTCCTGTCCTTTTATCAGTACGGTTTGCTCCTTTTTTTTTTTTAGTAAAAACCAGGAATTTTTATACAAGTCAAGCCAATAGGTGGTTAGTCTCTTCTTGTTGACATTGGTACCTGCCCATAGAAATAATGGTTGCTTGTAGTCCCAGATACAAGGTTAAGAGGTTCCCTTAAGAGCGAGCAGTCAGCACGTCCTCCTCTCCTGGGAGGAGGGTGAGGGCTTTGGGTTCCAAGGCTTATGTCACATCTGGAAGTGGCCTTCATAAACGGCTTGATTCTGCTTTCTTGAAGACACTGCCTCATGGTTTTGTATCGTAATTCTTCATGTGGTTGATGTTGGGCCTGTTTTTAAGTGTCAGACCTTTCAGACAACTCTCTCCATCGTTGGTGCTGTGTCTTCTCATGATTTTTAAATGTGCATGCCCTCAGAGATTGGCTTTCTTTAAACGCAAACAAAACCAGGTGAATTCTATGTGACCTGCTTTGCAGGGGACAGAGTTACTCCTTGTAATCAATGGAGCAATAAAACCGTTGCTGTAGCTGCGATGTGTCTGCATCCCAAGAGCCAGGCTTTTCTGCCTTCCCCAGGACTGTAAGGATTAATGTTTCCTCCTTAATGAATGTTATGTTTAAGATGAATAAGCGAAAATAGAAGGTAGTTCTTCCTTTATTTTTCTCTCCATATCCCTACAGAGCTAACGTAGCTGTAGGGTTTTAATTTTGGGAGGAGATAGAACCCCGAAGGAAAATTTATTCCATCTCAAACCTTGTTTACAGTAAAAAAGAAGTGCTTTAACTGCTTTTAACTGTGAACAGCAATGAAGTCTTGTTCCCTCGTGGCAAGCTGCGAGATCTTTGTGCTGACTTACGCTTCTGTGTCTAGGGTTGTTCCCGCCTCCTCTGGCACCACCACCAGCTCTCCTCATTCCAACCTTGGATGGGTAAGACCACACCTGGGCTGAGCCATCGGTACAGCTCCTCTGAAGCGAGGAAGGGAGGAGGATAGGTCTCAAATCAGTGCTAGTAACTCTTCGTCTGGGCTTGGATTGGGGTGGGGGGCAAGAGCAGAGTCCGTAGGGAATCCTCAGTGCGTTTACCTTGATGTGTCACATTCGCAACACGGGAAGGAGTTAGTAAAATCTGGGGATGTGCTAAGGTCTAGTGCAGAGCAGTTGGCAGCGTGATCTGTTACTCCAGATTTTTCCTAGAAGGATTCTCCAGGTACTTTGTGAGCACTGGTTAACTCCCAGGAAGCCGGCCAGGGGTACGGAAGGGAGGGGTACAGCAGCTGAGGTACAGCACTGCCAGAAGGTGTGGCAGAGCAACTGCGCCTGCATGCCTGTGTGAGAGTTTGCAGGGCGAAGCGAAAGAGATCCGGGGAAACCATGAGTTTCCTGTGAGGACGTTCCTCAGACCTTCAGAAAAAACCACGCAGCACAGACATACCTGCAGGGGGTCACTGGGGTGAGTAACGTGCATCCTTTTCTCTCTCCAAAGCCAGCCAGCCAGCTACAACAACAGGCAGCCTCCTCCGTTTGGCTACAACTCTGCGGGTGAGCACTGAAGATAACGGTCAAACTGCTCGTGTCTTGCTTCTCCGGTATTTGGTAGTTTAGGGTTTTCTCTTAACTGATGGATATCGTGCTTGCTTTAACTGTGGGGTCTTCTTGTGCCCCAGACTATCCCAGTCGCTAGACGCGCGTCCTGCGTTGGCACCATACGGTGTTTGGGAAACCGACTGTTGGGCAGCGATGGTGAACGCGATTCTGTAGTTGAGTGCCAAGCCTCGGGTCGCTGGTTTCAGCGCAGATACCCAGCAGCAGCCAACTCCCCCCCGTGTGCCTCAGCAACAGGCTCTTGTGCCTGCTCGCACACCTACTTGCTCCACACTCTCTTCCCCCACCTTCAGCTTCGCATCTCCTCCCTGAGCTTTTGAACGCCCTCCTCCCCCACTCGGTCGTCGTCCTTGCCTACAGGCACGTGCAGGGGTTGGTCTCACGTGCTCTGGAATGAAGAGGCCGTGCCAGGGTTTTGGCAGATTTCGGTCCCTGTTGCAGCCCTGCCGGCCGTGCCCGTGTCCTCCCCCGTTGTCCTGGGTGACCGGCGCCTCCTCGCCGTGCGGAGCAGGCTGTCACAGGCAGCCCCCGCGCTGTCCCCTCTGCAGGGGGGTGGTTGGAGGGGTGGGCAGTGCGAGGCCTTGCTGAGAAACAGGAGCCTCAAGCGCTTTCCTGCAGCTGGTGCTGCTTTGGGGTACAACCTGGCTGGTCCAGCTGAGCAGCAGGCCAGCATCTGGACAGGGAGGTGCTGGTGGCTCTGGGCTCGTCAGGTGGCATCCTTCGTTAGCAGCTGGTGCCCCTGACCCTCCCCAGCTGCCACCTGAGGCGAGAAGGTACCTGGGGAGAAGTGAGACCCTGTAAGGGTGGCCAAGAGCCCGGGGCTCAGCAGCAGGAGAGGGGTGCCTCAGCGCTGCAGGCACCTTTGTCCTCTAAGCCAGGGTGTCTGGGAGGGACGGATTGAAACTTTTTTCAGTGGAGACCTTATAGCATGCCCCGTATAGCAGGACCTATAGAGAGCGAGAGCTGGAGGAGTGCGTAGCCCTTGCAGTAAAGTGCCATGTAAGGGGCCGGGGAGATTCTGCAGCGATTTCTGTAAATATCTGGCCTTGCTTGCTCTTCCCGAGGGAAAAGGGGTTCACCTGTTCTTAGCAAACTGCTGGAAGTAAAAAGGGAGAGTGAGGACAGGAGGGAGCTGGGCCATTGTTGTCTCCTTGGATTCAGCTCTACCTCCAGAGGGTCCCTTTGGAATTGGAGGGGGAGCGAGGGTGCTCTTAGTGCTTCAGGTGAACAAGGGTTCTGCTCTCTCGCTGCAGATTCAGGTTTCATCAGCTACCCACCCATCTCCACGTCCCACACGCCCTGGGTGACAACGGTGGACAAAGGCACAAGCAGTTCCAGCAGCAGCCATTGGGAGTACTCGGGCTCAAGGCGTGAGAGGGAGCGGGAACGTGAGCGGGAAAGAGAAAGGGAGCGAGACAGAGACCGCACTCCGACCACGAGTGAATACAACAAGTGAGTGCTGGTTTTTGGCAGCTTCTGCTCACAGCTACCCAGTAGGGAGCTCTGGCCTTGCCCTGAAGTTTGGTCAAGGGATGGGATTATAGATGATACCAGTTAAATTGTCTGAAATGCCTGGGGAAGAGATACTTTGGGTCAATAACTGGAGGACAAACTGGGAGCCAATCACTGGCTGATTTCCTGTGCCTGTGTTTTCATTGAAATCCAGCAGAACCAGTCCCACTTGCTCTCCCACCTGTAATGTGAGGCCAGTAAATGAAATAGCCCCTCTGTGTTTGCTAGGCATTTCACAGCTCAGTGTGAAACATTGGCTGTAGAAGCTGCTGCTTCTTGTCTTCTAAATCAGACAGATCAAAGGGAAAACCACCCGTGCTTTGCTCAGCTCTCCCATCGAGGCTTTCAGGGCAAGGAGTGCCGTTCACCAGCAGTCAGCCTGGAACTGTAAATCCTCAGCCAGGCGTTTCTGCGAGCAGCGCTGGACACAGCCACCTTGGTGGGAGCCGATCGCAGGCGACAGCAGTGCTGGAAGCACTTGGGAAACAAGGCTTTGGGCCTCCCGGTGTTGATCTAGGGAGCTGAAGTGAAGGCCGCGCCGCAAAGACTTTCTAAGCCCATCACTTTTTTGCAGTGTTTCGCAGGCGCCAGGCTCAGAAATACCAGTAGTCACTCCAAAGATGATCAGAATGCGCATTCCCGGCAGGGGGGTGCTGCCTGCCGGGGAACTTCCCGGATCAGGGAGTGAGCAAACAGGGCAACGTTTTCCCAACCCTTTTTTTTTTTTTTTTTCCCTTTACAAGCTCGTGGGCACTGTGGGTGGAAGGGGGAGGAACAGAGGAGAAGACAAACTCGCTGCAGTTCACAGCTCAGACTCCCACACTCGCCGAGCAGGTTCATGCTGCAGCCAAGTCCTGTGATCAGCACTCCTGAGCACATTGTTGGCATTTCTGGGTCCTTGGGAGCACGCTGACCTCTAAGATCGTGCTTGCCAGAGCAGGACAAGTAGCCGTGCTAGTGGAGTCTTTTGGAGCACTCCCAGATGATTGATGCTGGACATTGATTTGTCTGGCGTCTTTCCACGAGTGTTAGGATGATGTTTCAGACTTCCCTTCTCTCCGAGTCTGGATATTGTTTCCCACAGTGGGGCTTGTTTAGGTTTTGGCTTTCGGAAGTTGAATAGGGACCACGAGATGTAGAGGGAAGGGGAGCGTGGGATAGATCTGAATTTGGGGTGCGTCAGGCCCGCTCTGTGCGGGGATTGAATGAGGTGCCTCAAGCAGATAGTTCGGTGTAGGCAGAGTGACCACATCAGCTGTACTCACAAATTGAGGTTTCGAACTCGGGGGGAAGAAAACAGTCCCTTGGTCTAACTCGCACAAAAGAATTGCAGGTTATCTGGGACAGCAGCGTTGTGAGGTAAAGCCCAGCACCACGGGAGGCGGAGTGGTAAGAGGAGCACGTTTCTGTGGTTTTGAGCAAGGTAGCTGGGTGTCTTGGACGTACTCCAGAAGGATTGTGAGCGCAGAAGCCCTGAGACATTGGCCACGTGCCTGCTGCGAAGGCAGTCCCTTGGCAAATCCAGGGAACAAATTTTATAAACTCTTTGCCATGATATTCGCCCAGGAGTAAGCCACGATATTCAACTGCTTGGGCTTATGAACTATGTAATAGGCAAGTGGAGAAAGTTATTTCACTGTGGTTAGAAACTGGGATTGGGTTGCAGCGTGGGTTCAGGAAGCAGCAGCAGCTTGGTGTTACAGGGTTTTTCTGGAGCATCACAAATACCTCAGCCAGTTGCTGGAGTAAGAGGGGAGAGGTTTTGTTGGTGAGGATGGGGTTCTACAGTCCGGTAAACGTCGCTCCTGACTTTCGGGTCCATGAGTGGTGTGTTCCTCTGCCTCACTTCTCCTTTCTCTTCTTAAGTGACGACGAACGATACCGCTACTACAGCCGAGAGCGCAGCTACGACTTTGAGCGGGACTACCGCCGGAGTCGGGATCGCAGCAGGGAGCGCGAGGACCGTCACCGAGAGCGCAGGCACAGAGACAAAGAGGAGAGCAGCAAGCATAAATCTTCGAGGCGGTAAGAGCTGTCTCGGGTCGGACTGGGCTGTCGATGGGAGCCCACCTTAGCTGCAGACAAGACGCTTGATGCTCTAAGTGAGCTGTCGCCCTGGGTCACGCTGGCTTCCTGTGACCTGCTGGTGGCCCGAGACGTGACGCCCAGGCAAGAGAAAGCGCTCTCGGGCCTGTACGTGGGCAAGAGGCAGAGCTGTCTGTTCTGCAGAGGAGTCCTTGGGGGCTGTAAGCCCTCAGCTGGCAGGATGTCTAGTCACTGCCGACAAAATTGCAGCCCCGATTGACAAAGGAGAGGTCAGCCTGTGCTGAACATCACAGCAGAACAGCGTGACTCCCACTGTTGAGGAAGTACAGGCAAAATAAAATGCAAAACTGTAACAGAAGCATCAGCTTTTGGTATTACGAGTTCTTGTGCAGAATAGAAAAGCTTTCTTCAGCCTGTAATGTCAAATTTCCTCTTGGAGCAGGAGGCTGAGCACTGCACGATCAGAGCTCTGCGCCCCTGATGGTGAGGTTGATGGTGATCTGGACAAAGGTGGAGCACTTGTTGAGCGGAGCAGGATGTCCTAAAATCCCAGCTTTTCTGGAGAAAATTTATTTATTACAGGTGATCTTCCTGTGAGAGTGTTCTTCTAGCAGTGCTGGGGCAATGCTCAGTGGCTGTGTCAGTTTACAGCCTGGTAATGACCGGAGCAAACTCGCTCTGGGTTTTTTTGGGTTTTCACCTTACTTCCTTCTTTTCAATGAAATTCGTGTCAGCGCTGTAGGTAATGACCCTTATTTTGAAACTGGTATCTGAAAAACTCCTACATCGTGACTGGAGGTAAAAGGCTGTTCTTGTCCTGAGGGAGATGAGTACATTTTCAAGAAGGGACTGATTGCTGAAGGGTTGGAAACGAAGCGATGGGAAGAAAGGGCAGGACCATCACCAAAATTGAATACAAAGCAAGTGGAAGCTGAGCTGATACAGACTAAGGAGCCAGTAGCTTTAAGGGTTATTTCTCTGCTGCTTCCACTCAGAGCTGAAATCTAGCTGAAAACCCGGCTGCGTGAACAGAATCTGCTGGAGAGCTCGATGTACAGAACGGGGCTACTGCACGAGGTAGGAGCGAGGTGATTTTTCCTCTGCTCCTGCAACCCCGCGCAGATGCTCTCTGCCTTGCTCAGGGTGGTGGTTAGCTAAAGCAAATGGAGGAATGCTTTTGGTTTAAGGCCACTTGGAGTGCGTATCGGAGTCCCTGCTTGAGGCACTTTGAGATTTGAGCCTGTTTAAGGCATTTGCAGGAAGACGAAAGGGTTTCGTGGTGGTTTCCAGTTTACTGCAAATTGACCAGTCCGAAGGAAATCACTGACATTTGGTTAAATATGAGAGGACAGGCGCCTTGTTCAAGTGTGAACCACTGCCACATTGCTGTCCACAAGGAGGCTGAAGGTGTGTTAGGGTGAGGCAGCAGCCTTTTTTTTTTGTCCCTTTTTTTTTTTTTTTCCTTCCCTTTAATGACTATGAAACCATTTATTATTAAACAAGTCAGAAAATTACTCGAAGGCAGGAGCTTTTCAGCCAGGGCTTCAGTGGTTCAGCCAGTTAGGGGTGTCTGCTGCTAAACTGGTATTCCAGCTGTGGTGAGAATTTGTCTCTCCACCTGGCTCTGTCCCCACTCATGGAGCTCTGTGTCTCTACTGGGCGACTGTACGTCTTCCTGTGATGAATTTATTTGCTTTTTCCTGTACTCTGTGCTGCGCTGCAGTTCTGCCATGGTCAGCTCTAGAGAGCTCACTTGGTTTTCAGCCCGTGAGGAGAAATAGTGGCGTGTTTGAGAAGCAGCAGAAAATCTCCTCCTCTGGCCAAGAACCAGAGTGGGCAAAACCAGAGCTCCCACTTTCCCCGACAGGAGATCGATGTCGGCGTGGGGGGTTGTGTCGGGCGCAGGACGCAGCGGTCCGGGGCGCAGGGCTCGGGGGTGTGCGCAGCCTAGTCGGGGTTACTCCTGGCTGGGATTTCTCCCACATCACAGAAATCCTGGGTAAATGTCCACAGCTCTCCAGCTGCACCTGGAAGTCAGTTCTGGGTGAGGAGACAGAGGAGTTTTCAAGCACGAAGTTAGAGCAGCGCCAGGTCGTTTAAGCAGAACCAGGATCTGCCTCCCATTAGGATCCCCGCGGTTCTCTGCGTTGATCCTTTCCTTGCCTCTAGTCCAGGGATTTCCTCAAGATGCTCAGAGGAGCGAAAGGTTCAGACACCTCTCTGATGCAGGACCCTTCCTTCTCTCAGCAGCCTCAGTGCTTCACATTGAAGCTTGAGACGTGTCAAGTCAGTTAGAGCCGCCTTAGGAGCGGCAAGGACACCGAGGTGTTGCTTATAAAACATCCAGAAATTATCCTGGCAGCAGTTTGTCTCGTGTGCCGCCTGCCCAGCCCGTGCGCTGATGCAGCGCGTGGTGTGAAGCGACCGCCCGCAGCCGTTGGCATCGCCTGCCCTCGGCTCAGCCCCACGCGAGATCCGATCGTCCCGGATAAACACGATGGAGCCTTGCGACGGCACCGTGGTGCCCTCAGCCCTTCTGCTCGCTCCTGTTTATTGAGGATCGAGGCGCTCTGTCCCCGTAGAGGCGGTGCCTTGGCGCTCCTGGGGCAGAGCCGTGCCGATGCGGGCTCCCCCGTAACGTCCTTCTCCCCTTTCTTCCCCGCCGCAGCAAGCAGCACGAGAGCGAGGAGGGGGAGAGTCACCGGCGTCACAAGCACAAAAAGAACAAGCGCAGCAAAGAGGAGAAGGAGGCCAGTGAAGACGGTGCCCAGGAGGGAGAGGAGCAGGATGCCAAGGAGTAACCCAGGCCCGCCGTCAGCCCTCGGGAGGATCGCGCTCCTTTTGAACCAGCGTGGCGTTGGTGATGGTTTGGTTTGGGGGTTTGATGAGGATTTTGTTTTTCTTCTTTCCAAGGGAAGAGAGGCTGACTCTGGGTGAGCAGTGAAGCATGGTGCAGCGGTCCGAGAGCTGAGGCTGCACATGCAGTTAAACTTCTTTTCGTTGTTGTTTTTGATACGAGACAAAATACAGCAGTACTAGTATACAAAGCACTGAGCTACTCTACTCATAAAGATCCCTAGGGAGAACTTTGTTGTATCAGATCCTATGGTTTCTGATGGAAGGAGGCTTCAGCTGAAACTAACGCATTTAGGTAATAGTTTTTCTTTATTTTTTTTTGGTCATCATCATTCCTTTTTGAAAAAAAATAGGACAGTAAGTGCAACTTGAAATTTATTGTCCAAAGAAAAGTGTGATTTAGATCCTGAGAGCCAGCTTAGAGTCTGGCTTCTAGTAGTGAAAAGTCTCATCCCCGAATAAATTTCTTTATAGCTACAAAAATATCTTCTGATTTCTCTGCGGCCAGCCGGGCAGCACGTGAGGAGGAACTGCTTTTACGGGTGGGTCACAAGATCCTGCTTTGGTCTGGCAGCTTCGAGAAGCTGTCATGTGTGTTTACACAGGGTGTGCGAAGACTCCAAAAGTAGCTTTTTTTTTTTTTTTTAATTGCAAAAATAGGTTTATCATCTGTTACACCTGTAAGTGGGAAATCAGCGGAAGACCCATAGTAAGAGCGTGAGTGTCTCTTTAATTAGTTTTAACTAACTCTTTTTCTTCTTTTTTTTTTTTTTTAACTAAGAGTTGAGCTAAATAATCTACCACAGTAGAGAACATGAAGTCCCACCAAGCAGTTTGCCCTCCTGGGGTTGGCTTATTGCCATTTGGTTATCACCGACACTCCCGTGCAATGCATTCCTTCCCCCCTCAAAATAAATTCAGTCAAATTCCGACATTCATTTGGACTTAGTGTTGGTCGGGGGGGTGTCAACAGAGATATTTCTGGGTGGGAAGAACAAGGGAAGTAAGTTGGAGGGGTTTTGGTATGTCTAGTACTTAAGATACTGCCCTTCTGTTTGTGTGATTCCACAAGTGTCTCATTTTTAAGTATCTTCTTCTACTTTGACTTGTTATTTAAAACTGTCTTAAATCTTTGCCCTAAAATAATATGGTTCTGAAATGTTACGTATCTTTTTTGTGTATTGTAATCTTGCAAGTCTGAGTGTCACGTGAAGCTTACAGCCGCGGGGACCTGCGCCGGTGCAGCACCGTGGTCGCGGTTTATACGCGGTGACAGCGCGTTTGAGGAGCCGTTAACTGCAAAACCTGTGGGGAGAAGAAAAAAGAGTGGGGTTTTGGTTGGGTTTGATGTAGCTTTTTAAACGTGCTTTGAGATCATGGGAAGCGTGTGTGCAGTGAGGAGGTGTGGGCACTGAGCCGCTGTTAGTCAGGGCCTGGACTCGGGCTCGTTCCTCCCGCAGAGCCCTGGTGGAACACCACGGCTCGGGCATCGCTCCTCAGGTGCCGGTTTGGGCATCGGGCGAGGGCAGCGGCGCCTCGCCGAGAGGCGAGCTGCG